CAGCAAAGAGCAACCTCGAACTGGGCCTGCGGAGCCAGCAAGGCCAGGCATGTGTGGCCTGGGGCCAAGGCCAAAAAGGAGTTGGATCAGTGTCTGTGTCTTTATGTTCTATAGTGTAGCCATGTCAAAAGTATAGGTTTTGCCCATCCCCACCCCAAAAAAAGTGTTTTGCCCCCTTGTGGCTGACCCTGCCCCATGGAAAACGTCTGCTCCCGACTCCCAGCTACAGGTGGCCACTACCATGCTGTCCTATGTTGTCCTGTAGGAAGAAGACAAGTCTCCCCCTCCCCCACCCCATACAAATTATAAAAGGAACATGGGACCAGGGACAGCCCTGGACCAGCCAGGCTGAGGCCAAGGAAGGCATTTCTACTGCTTTGGGTCTGGCTGGTCTTCATCTACCAAAGAGGAGTAAGTCCCCAGTGCCAACCATAGTGCCTGGCACTAAACGCTTCTCCGTCAGAAAATACACGAGTGAATACTAAATGTGTGCAAAGTGAGAGGTAGTATAGACTTGATTCATCCTCGCTTAAAACTCAGGGAGCGGTTCTCCTTAAATATTTCATCAAGCTCTAAAAATTATTTGCAGCCCCCATTAATTTTTAAATGCATGTCAGAAGAAAATGTTTGCTTTGGCTTGGTGGTGGCCAGAGACTGCCTGTTAATTAAGGCGGCAGAGGCTTCCTGCTGCAAAGGGCCTGCCCCCCTCCAGCCGCCACCCCTGTTGAGTTTTCTTGTAGAGCCAGTTCTGCAAATAGCAACAGAGAGGCACACATTCCAGCTTGGGAGGGCGCCCGGCCACCTCGGGAAGTGTGTGTTGGCTAAGGTGGAGGCTGGGGGAGCCGTCTCCCGTCTCCTAGACACTGTGCAGCCTGCCAAGTGATGACCCAAATTAATTTTTTAATCACTTATAATTCTTTCCATGATTTTTATTTAATACCATTAAGTGATCCATATATTCTTCCCAGGGAGTCCCTGGTGTGTGCTGTCAGGTTTGTCTCTGTGCCACGGCTCGGCTGGGCTGGTTATTTATGACTAGAGTGCGAACTATTGACAAGGTGGAGAGTTGGCTGGAAGGGAGGGGATGTGCACTCACGTGGGAGGGCGGGGTGAGGCAGGGGAGGGGGAGAGTGAAGAGGGTGGCTGAGGCCCTGGAGAGGCCAATAACTATGGCAAATGCGGGAGAGCATGGTATGAAACATTTCGTTTTTAAATGTTGGTCACTAACTGAAATTTTTTTAAAAATATGTGAAAAAAATATCTGTAAAGGAAAGTTGAACCTCTGCAATGAGAAAACCCCTGGGTAGAGCTTTTCTGTGAAGGCCGTAGCCCTGTGGACAGTGAGGACTGCCGGAGCGATCGGAGGAATAACACCTCTGCTTACCACACCTTCTAGCTCATGGGCACCTTCGGGAAAGCTAGGTCATTTGAGCTTCCTGAGAATCCTGGGAAGTCGCTCCGGCTGGTGCTGTTTCGGAGAGAAGCTTCCCAATTCAGAGACTGTATGAGACTGAGTATCAAACTTCCCACAGTTACCTGGGCCTTGGCAGGCTCGCTTGCTTATTCCTTTGTATCAAGGAACAACACCCGGTTGCCAGTGATCAGCATTTGAGACACACTGTGTCATTAACCCTCACAACGAGGTGTGACCAGCCTCAGTGTAAAGATTAGAAACAGACACTATCGACATTAGTAAGCACGTATCAGGCCTCATGCTAGCGGATTGGCATGGGCAAAGGCTTCCAATGGACCACCTCGTCTTACCCTCATAGCAGGTGTTCTGGGAGGAAACTAGAGGATCCAGTTTTACAGAAGAGAACAGGATTTTTACAGGTGAAATAACTTGCCCAGGGTTGCAAGCCAGTGGGGAAGCTGAGACTTGAACCACAGGCTCCCTCTTCCAATTCTTTACCACCATCGCGTGCTGAGCACCGCTAATGCCCATCCATTAGAGCAACCCAAATGGCATTGCTGGTAATTGACAGTTTGTCTTCTACAACAGCATTTGCATGTGGTTCCACCTAATGAGATGCACCTTCCCCGTCTCCAATCATCATAAACTAGTTTCCAGAAACAGGAAACAACAATGGATGAGTGGATTCTTCGGGGGTGCTTTTTGTTGTGTTTTAGAAATCTGCTAATCATTTATTAACTTAAGAAAGACCCTGGACTTGGAAACAGAGGCAAATCCACACACATTTGTCAAATTTAGGTACCACTTTTACTTTCTAGACATTTATTTCTGTCATGAACAAGATTTCTAAGTTTTAACTGATTCTTAAATGACGATGGTTTTGTGAATATTACTTCAGTTTAATGGCCCTGAAAAAGTAATATGATTGTAAAAATATATTCCACACCTTTCAGTGGAAGAATTACTTGTACACATTGCCTTAGTTTAACCTGTAAGTCAGAAATACACATGATGCTTTGATGTGATTGGAAGGAATTGGAATTAAATTCAATAAAAGCTCTACTTTTTGTTCACTGTAAAAAATTTCTTAAAAAGTTGGCTTTCTTCCTTAAACTTTTCTGATAGTCTTCGGTTAGTAGGAAAGTCAGCCCGTAGCTGAGGGACAGTGAAGCCGAGTCAGGGCCCTTGTGTGTGCTCCTTCCTCACATACCTGGCAGCCCCTGAAACACACATGGGGCCTTTCCTCTGGCTGGTTCTGCTGGTCCCTGTGCCTTGAAGTTGGAACCTGGAAGGACTGGGGGAAGAGAGGGATACGTCTGTCACCTTCCGTGAAAGGCCACAGAATGTGCGTCTGTGGTCTCCGCCTGTGGCCTCGGGTCCAAGCCTGGTGCCATCGGCCGCGGCCCTTTTCAGTTGGAGGGTTCAGAGTTCCCCCATGACCACCTTGCACCCCCTCAAAGAGAGTGGGTGTGTATATGCATAAACTTGGTGATTTTAAAGAGATAATACTCATTGGAAAAGTTTTAATTATAAAAATCAAGCTTAAAGGAAGCAAATTCTTCATCACTTGTGTCTCATGCAGAGGTTACTGCCTCCTTATCCTTTGTGCTTCTATAATAAAGTGTATGTTTTTAAATTTTTGTTCTGTGTAATTGTGAAGTGAGGTTAGACAGGGGGATGAGATCCTTGGAAAGGATCGGGGTTTCTTGTGATTTACAGGTTCTTCTTTGCTAAGCCAGAACAGCAAGGCTGGCTTAGGACACGTCTTAAAGGGCTCAGTACACCTGGCCCGCCCGGCTTCCGCTAAAGCCCCGAGATGGGGACTGGATCAGGGGCTTCTTAATGTTGATGTTTTTTATCATCCACTCACAGAATAGTATTGATTATAAGCTGTATTTTTCCAGCTTTGGCCATTTATGAATCACCTCATGATTTTTGTCCATATCTGAACATAATGTCTATATAGTTTTTTTTTTTAAAGCATACTTTTTAACTTAAATTTTCAAAAGGAAACTCCTCACTACTATTGCTGTGCTTTATTTAATTGATTAATTTCTTATTCTATACTAGAGTCCCGGTGAAGGAAATTCCTGCACTGGGGGGGCGGGGGGAGGGAGCCTCCCCACGGGGATTGGGCCTAAGCCAGCAGTCAGACATCCTTAGCGCTGCTGTGCTTGCCAGCCGTGAGCCTGGCTTCTGGCTGAGCAGCGCTCCCCCTGTGGGAGTGCACTGACCACCAGGGGGCAGAACCTACATTGAGCATCTGCCTCCTGGTGGTCAGTGCGCGTCATAGTGACCGGTCATTCTGCCGTTCGGTTGATTTGCATATTAGCCTTTTATTATATAGGATAGTTGCCTTTTTAAACTGTAGGCTGAAAAAGTCAATTTTAAAAATATTGTTTTTATTAATTTTTTATTTGTTATTTTATTTTTTTATCACCATTTATCCCCTCTCTGCCCTCTTCCACTTCCACCCCCCACCCCCCACAATCACCACACTGTTGTCCCTGTCCATAATTTTAAAAGTAACCTTTAGGCCTTAGCTGTTTTGGCTCAGTAGATAGAGCATCAGCCCAAGGACTGAAGGTTCCCGGGTTCGATTCTGGTCAATGCCATGTACCTCGGTTGCAATGTCAATACCCAGCCCTGGTCAGGGCGCGTGTGGGAGGCAACCAATCAATGTGTCTCTCTCACATCGATGTTTCTCTCTCTGTCTCTCCCCTTCCCTTCTTCTCTCTCTAAAAATCAGTGGGAAAAATGTCAAGTGAGGATTAACAACAATAACAAAAAAAGTAAGCTTTGTATTACTACCATAATTTACTAATTAGATTTTTTTCTAGTGCACATTAAAAATATACACACTTATTCAAATTGAAAAGTCCATCCATGTACCACCCAGGAGCACATTCTGGTTGGATCTTAACCAAACTTTGGGGGAAAGTGGCTGAGAAAAGTTGGGTAATTACTAGAAGAATGACACGTAAGGGTTTCCACCGTTGACACAGTTTCTGTTAAAACTTGGCAAGGTTGTTCCCACCCAGGATGACCCTGAGCGCTAAGCCTGCCACTCAGTTAAAGAGGCGCCACGTGGTGTCACTGCCCTTCTTTGTAAAACCTGCCCTCGTGAGGAGCCCCTTCTGAAGGGAAGGTGACCTCCACTTGGTCGGCCTGGAGGGTGCAGCCAGTAATGAATTTTTTATGTTCTGTGAGGCTCAGTCACAATTGGACTCAGCATTCTGCTAGTGCATATATGTAAACGGGTGACCAATTGAAATTCCGATGTAATGAGGGTGAAGTGTTGCTATTCAGCGCAGCCGCCTTTGTTTTGAGTCTAGTAAGTTCTTTGCACCAAAACAATGCAGCTTTCCTTCCAGCTTCTGAAATGTCCAGCTGGATACCAACGACATCTTTTCCAACCCATTTCAGAAGCGAAATACAGTCTGTTCTGGGTTTTGTTTTGTTTTGTTGTTTTTTCCAGCTTAAATACATTATTTTAAAATGTGCTGAGACAGTTGGATGTGAAGTTTTGAAAAAAACAACAAAGTATTCTTTCTGAAACATGCAAATGTGTCTTTCCGTCGCCTAGGAAACTATTATGGGACACCCAAACCTCCCAGCCAGCCGGTCAGTGGGAAAGTGATCACGACGGATGCCTTGCAAAGCCTTCACTCCGGCTCCAAGCAGTCGACCCCCAAGCGAACCAAGTCCTACAATGATATGCAAAATGCTGGCCTAGTCCATGCGGAGCTCGAGGAGGATGACGGTCCTGAAATGAACAGCAGCTTCACAGGTAAAGCCCGGATGGTGTTCCCTGTCCCCGGACTTGGGGAAAGGGGGTGGTGGGAGGCTTTTTGCAAATTGTAAGGTTTCTGTTCTCAAGAGGAATTAGGAAGGGTCACCAGGATTCACACTGACCCCTCATGCTGGGGAGAGGTGTCTTTTCCCGTCTATTTATCATGTTGCTTTGCAAGACTGTTCTAACTTCACCCAAATATCTGAAAGGGGCTGGAGGGACAGGTTTGTAGAGAAAAACCAGTGTTGTTTCTGCCTCTTGAAAACTATGTGTAGAAGGCTATTTGTATATTGTCTGTTAATTTCCTGGCGTGACACTGCTCCATTGTTATGGCTGACGGCTGACAAAGGGAAATATGAGAATGGGTTTAACAGTTTAGTAACAAGCGATGCCCTTTGGAAGGCTAGCACCATGTGCATCATACCTTTGTGAGTAGAGCTAGAGCGGAGATATATCATGTGTCTATTAACATGGGGAAATTTTACATCATATGCCCTATACAATGGGAAATAATAAATGCCCTGCTTACCTGTTGCATATGCGTTCTGTATCAGATGGCACATATTACTCATTGCATTACCTACTTGTATATATTCAGGCTGCCAGCCCCCACACTTAGGTAAGACCCCTGTATTTGATGAAGGGGTCTTCAAGGACAGGCCGCTGGATGTGGCTCTCCTGTTGGTCTTGCACGTTTCCAGGAAGCACCATTCACAGAAGCTATGATGGATGTTCCCTGGGTCGGTGCAGTGACCTAGAACTGTCCAAAAATACTTTTCACTATATGGGGGTTTGACCTTATATAGTAACTCAGAACCTAACAACTGCATGATAGGTGAGTTACTACCGTCTACTAGTATTATGTTGCAGCTTTGAAGAATATCTTGTTTCTTCTATTTTTCCTATACTTAAATATTTTCTCTTAATATTTTAGGGTTACAGTTCTTTGCAGCACATGAATCTTCCTCTCTCGTATTGACCTCTTCTGACTTCACCACATTCAGCCATTACTTGGTTAGACTTAATTCCAATAAAGGGGAGATTACTTAAACTGTATTTTCTTCCTTGTGCTACCAAGTGTAATGGAATATTTAGGGGAAACTTTGTGTTACTTGAATGCTTTCTACAGCCTATATGGGCCTCTCTGAGGTTTTCTCATTTTTTAAAGCTCAAAAACCTAAAATTCCTCAACATGGCAATTAAAAACATTCTTGATGACTTTCTTATCTACCAGTAGCCTGATCCCTTTGCAAGACTCATTGGAAAAAGCAGGAGGAGACCTGGTTTGCTCTCCTAGCTTGCTTCTTAGCCGTTTCTCATTATGAACATAGTATCTACTTCTCACATTTGCAAAATAACCAGCTAGGATTAAGTCATGCCTGTGTTCCCCCTTCCAGCTCTAAGAGTTTGATTCCATGAAAATTGCCATTTTCTCTATTAGAATGGGCTAGGCCAGCGGCTAACTTATAGCTGCAATAGCTAGGAGAAACTTGCCATCCTTTACATATTGAAATTAGGTTCTTTCAACCAGTTAGAAATAAATATTTTATGGATTTATAGTTAGTAGCTCTCATTGAAATGAAAGCAGATTTAAAAAGTCAATATTTCTTTTGAAAATAGCTAATATTTTAATGCTTAATCTTTCAACAAATAAGAAGAGCAAATCACGATATAACCCAAAACACAGACGTGGACACAGAAACAGAAGTCCTGTGGCGTCACGTGCCGCGAAGCAGTCCTGCCAAGCATCTGGGTGGGCCCAGGGAGCTTGCGCCTTTATTTGTCCTTCATTTCTTAAGTACATTTCTTGGGAGAAAGCGCATAGGGGTCGTTGACTCTAGGTCTTGATGCCTTTCCTATTTCTAATACTAAAATCTCTGTCTCTAGAAGCCATGCCTCAGAAAATCTGTCCCCATAAAACCTCCACTTGAAATCCCGGCATCAAAGGAAATGCTTTCTACAGCCTATATGGGCCTCTCTGAGGTTTTCTCATTTTTCTTCTGGGCACAGATCATCTTCGCTAGCGTCAGTCTGATCATTAGTTTCTGCACAAAACAGTGGCACCTGATTGTCTTATTCGGATGCCTGCTTTAATGCCAAGAAAGCCGATAGGACGCACAGAGAACTGGCCTCAATATACACATTGATGGGACATCCTCCGTATGTAAGGAATGTGTTGAATGAGTGCCCCCTCACTTACCAAACTACAGCTGTGACGGCTGATAACCCATCATACACTAACTCATGTAAATTCTTTCAAATAATTGGCACTACCCCATCTATGATACGTGTATCAAACCAGCTGTGTCAAAGCATCTTGCACTCTGAACCCCTTTAATAGCAACCCACCAGCCACTTTGAGCATAGAGTGGCAATAGCATAAAGATTACATGTTAACAGTCTCTCCTGGTGATTCTTATGTACGTGTAAGTGGGGGAAGTGGACATTCCAAAGACATACCAGAAATGAATACATGGTGGCTCCTAGCGAAGTAAGGGTGAATCTTTCCATTCTTGCCAAGTTTTGAATTTATTCTTTATTGATTAGTAATTTCAAAATGTTTCTTCTCTCTTCGCCTAATTTCCTTTCTTCCTTCAAATGTATAGTTGTTAAAGGGAATTTAGGCGGTTGAGTTGTTAAGGAGGCCAAGGGCAGCCTTGATTTCAGGCATGAAAGTCAGTCACAGGTATTAGGTGACTTTCTGTGTTTTTCATCTCTGCTTTCCTCTGTGTAGGCCAAGTGTCAGGCAGGATTGGCAAGCTGTCAAGAGGATCACCCGAACCTGCAGTATGAGAACCCATCAGCTTAACGTCTTCAGCATCAGGGGCCCACCTCTTGACTGATAGCTAAACTTTCATGCCTGATGTTCTTTGGTTTGCCTTGGATCATATGCCTGATCCAATCACAAATACAAGAGAGATAGGAGTGTGAATTGGGCCCCCCGTGTGAGCTAGCAGCGAATTTGAGACAGTCCCCGGAAACCTGGAATAAAGGGGATGGTTTTTAAAGAGAGGTCTAAGTGGTGGTAGCGGAAGAGGGGAGAGATGCAGAGTGAGGAAAGACCACAGACAGCCTCTCGGTGTGCAGAGGTTTTGGTGGTGGTTTCATAGGTCCATCTCCATCCAGCTTTTGGATTACCTTTGTTCTGGCAATGTCATTGGGAGCTGCTGATCAGAGAAAGATGCGAAGTATAGCCTTTCATTATTCCTCAGTCTGCATTCAGTAAGTCAGGAATGTCTACAGTACAATAACTATGGGAGATAGAAAGTAACTCCGTCACTGATTTTATGTTTTCCAACCCCATAGAGATTGACATTGGCCTCTATAAAAATTCAACCAGAATGTCAGCATTGCATCTGTGGATACTTTGATGACATCACCTCTTGATGTTTCTGGTTAATAAGAAGGAAAGAGACTCATGTACTTGGAGGCTTCTTTTTAACACCCAAGTCAAATCCATCCACCTACATAATACTGTTCTGGGGGAACTGTCTTGGTTTTCACGGGAACATTCTCCTCACTTTTTGCAAAAGTGACTCACTGGTGTAACTCTCTGCATTGTAAACTTTTACATACTTTCTAGCTTGATTGGTGAATCTTTGATCTTTGCCACTGTCTACCAAAAATGCTTTAAATAATTTATGCAAAATGGACAAGAATGCCACTATATTGTTTTCATTGTGGACTTCTTTCTCACCTTCAAAAGTCCTCTGAGCCATGAAACCAGATGATTCCCCCGGAATGACAGTTCAGCTCCTCTGTGTTTTGATGACCTTCTCTTCCTCTTTTCTTTTTTTATGGCCTTTGTAGTTTAAGAAACTTTAGGGTTTGAGTCATGATCTGTTTCTTCTTTGACACTTGCATGATTGTGAGCAGCGTATCATTTGAGCATGTTTTTCTCTTCTTTATTTTTAGGTAAAGTAAATTTGGTCTATCATTTTTGATGTTTCTGCTTAAAAACTTTTATCTAAAGCAAACAGAATAGTCAATGGTCAGAAAGGAGGAGAGGGTGAGGGCTTGGAGGTGCCGACAGTGCTTGGTGCCGTGCCTCCGTTTGGGGTTTGATGGATGATTGTCTCCTCTGTCTCTCTCTCTCCCACGACTGCACAGCCGATTCTGCTGATCAGGAAGAGCACAGCCTGCAGGAAGCAACGCTCCCACCTGTGAATAGTAGCCTCATCGCTGCCCCCATCACGGACCCTTCTCAGAAGTTCCCTCAATACCTACCTCTTTCTGCAGAGGATAATCTAGGTCCTCTACCTGAGAACTGGGAGATGGCCTACACCGAAAATGGAGAAGTCTATTTTATAGAGTAAAGTATACCGTTATTTCTTCCTGGCTCTGTCCCTGTCTTTCATTCCCCTTCCTCCTTCTCTCCAGCAGCTACAGATGCAGCGTAAATCTGAAAGGACTGATCACAGGCTGGTGGAGTTCTTTATTCAATTTAATAAGCTTTGCACAAAAAAGCAATTAGCATATCATCCTAGTCATTGAGCCTGAATAGCTTGAGGAAACATACAGTCAATAATTTCCTTAAAGAGTTAGACAACTAAATTATGGTGTATATTTAAATTATGGTCTAATATACTAAGAATATATTTAGCCATTAAAAATAGGTAACTCATTTGCTTATTTTCTCTTAGATGGGTTGCAGTTTTCTTTTTGTTGAGTTTTGAGAGTTCTTTATGTATCTGGATACAATGCCTTTATTATATTTGTCATTTGCTAATATTTTCTCCAAGTCAGGATTTTCTTTTTATTGTCTTAACTGTGTCTTGTGAGCAGCTGGAAGTTCTTGATTTTGATGAATTAAGAACTTACCAATTTTCTAATTTATAAATATTTTTTCTGTTGCGGCTTGTGCTTTTAGTGTACTAGCTAAGAAATCTTTGCTTAACTCAAAGCCATCAGGCAGTCACTTTCTGCTGTATTTCTTTCAGAAGTTTTATAGCAAATAAATTAACCTCAACCTCCACCTTACACCTCATACAAAAAAATAACTCAAAATAGATCACTGCAGACTTAAATGTAAAATGTAAAGCAATAAAACTTACGAAGAAAACACTATAAAAAATATACAGATTTTTCCTAGATTGGGATCTAGGAATAGGCAAAGAAATCTTAGATTTGACATCATACACATGACCCCCTAAAAGGATAAATTCAGCTTCATCAAAATGAAAAACTTTGGCTTAAGAAAAGACTCTGAGAAGAGGATAAAGAGACAAACAATAGACTGGGAAAAATATTTGCAAACCCCGCATCTGAAAATTGACAGGCATTTAGAATATATAAAGAACCCTCAAATCTCAGCAGTATAAAAAATAAAAATCCTCTTAGAAAATGAGTTAAATACATGGACGTACATCTCACCGAAGGGGGCGTACAGGTGACAGGTAAGCACGTGAGGAAACACTCAACATCGTTAGCTGCACATTAAAGCTACGAAGGTATCATTACGCACCTATTGGGATGGCTAACATAAAAAACAGTAACAACACCACATGATGGCAAAGATGCAGAGAAACTAGATCATGCACGCAGGGCCAATGGTATGTAAAATAGTATGACATTCTAGAAAACGGTCTGGCAGTTTCTAAAAAACTAAACCTGTGACTACAACATCACCCAGCAGTTGCACCTTTGAACACCTACATTCACAGGAAAACTGTACATGGATATTTAAGTAGATTTATTCCAAATAGCCAAAAACTGGAAAACCAGATGTCCTTCAGTGGTAAACTGTGGTCCGTTCATGCCAGGGAATACTATTCAGGGCAGTTGGGCAGCGCGTTGACTTCTCCGAGGTTTTTCTGGCCCTGGTGTATTTATGTTAGGTGACTTCGGGTTGCCTTCACCTCGTCTGAATCACAGCTTGGGCCGCTGCCATTAATGATATGCATTAGCTGCCTTGAGCCACTTGCATGAATTGAGGGAGTTTCCCACGGTCATGAGAAGTCTTATGTAATAGAGTGAATGAAATAGCAGCCTCCTGTGTGAAATCCCCGCGTTCACGATTTAAGTCACAGCAAATTTAAAGTAAATTGGGGTTTGCTCTTCAGCAAATGTGAAGACTAAATAAGTCTAGTCAGCCGCGGACAATACAGACAAGGGGTGTCATTTGGAACTCATTTTTAAAAAATGAACCTGAGATACCATTTCAGCTCTCAATACTGGCGTGATTATATCTTCCGTTGAGTAAAAAGCCCACCAGAGTCTTTCCCTCAACCACCTCCTAATTCCTAACCGGGGCTCTCTGGTCTGGGTTTGCTGTCACAATGAATCTGTAGTTGAAGAGCAACTGTTCAAGAACGTAAAGTTTTTTTTGGTCACTGAGCTCTCTGCTTTTCCTTTTTAAATCTATTTCTTGTTTTTGTTTCTGGATTTCAGCCATAACACAAAAACAACGTCTTGGTTAGACCCTCGGTGCCTGAGCAAGCAGCAGAAGCCTCTGGAAGAATGTGAGGATGATGGTAAGGGGCGTGGCAGCTCTCCTTTTAAATGAGTTCCGTGTTTGTTCCAATCTTAGAGAGTTGTAGCAGAGTCAACCAGTTTTCACAGTGAGTTTTCAAAAGGAAATCCAGTTTCTAGTAAGTGCACTCAGGTTACCAAAAGCAGAAGGGGAGTCAGTAGACTTGTTCAGAAGAATGATTTGTGTGCACATAAAGGCAGATGCGCAGCTATGTTCCCGTTGGAAACAGAACTTTACACAGTCAGGCAGCATTCACATGAAGATACAGCCTCTGCCTCCAGGAGCTTGGAGAAAACTGCAAGAATAGAGAATTGCCTGTCGAACCCTAATCCTATATTATGAAATTCTTAGGGGGGAAATCAGTAGCTTTTCTTAAACTGTCCATGTTTTATGACTATTATTTCCCCAGATGTTGGTGTCAGGAAAGCAGATCTTGACTTGTTTGGGAATCTCTGTGTAAGTTAGAATATATCCTAAACACCTAAAAAGTGTATTTTTCCAAGAAAGGGGCTGAGGTGTTACCCTAGCCCACTCTCCTCGTTATCTCAACAAAGAATCAACTGGCTAGAAAGGTTACTGTTTTAAAAAGTTTATTTCAAGGTTGTGGGATTTCTAACTGCTTTTCCAAAATGAAAAAAATTAAGACAGAACAAGCATGTTCCTTCTCAATACACCCAAGTCTTTCCCAAGCTCTACCAAAATTACTTCTTGGCATGGACGAATTAAAAGGGAAAGGATTTGCTTTGCTACTCATTATTCATTGCTGGCATCTGAATTAGTGTCATTATTGAATTAGTATAATTATCTTACTGTAAGATAGTGAACCTTTAGTAATGTGTGCTGTGAGGCAGAATTGTTATGTATACACGTGTTTGAAAAGGTAAGCAGTGAAGTACAACCTATCAGACTAGCATGTACTCCAGGACACTTCACTGCTCACGGGCTGCAGATGACATGGCATGAACGTAGACTTGCATGTTCATATTTATCTGATTGGCTGAGAAGACATGACGGAGATGCCCATTTTATTTGGTTGCTTAGTCCGTTCCTGAAGAAGGAATGGAACAGTTGTGGTCGCTGCAGTATTTTGCGTGTGTAAGGGCTAATGGACTATCCTGACTATTCACACGTTCAGTGTGACATATAATACAAAGGTGACGGATTTTCAAAGATCAGGACATAATATACATTCAACCGTCAGATGTCATGGAACAAAATTTAAAACTTTATTTGAAGCCTGACGATTCTGAAGTCACTTCAGGCGCTGGTGTTACCATAGGGTCTTTCATGTCAGTATCCATCATAATTACACTGGGAATGTGTAAAAATGCCTGTGAACATAAATTCAGAGGTTGTGGAGAACTCCAATAGTTTTTATTGAGAAAAAAAGTGTTAATGCAGTAAAAGTATTGACTAGAATTACTGAATGGTTTTGTTACCAAGTCTAGTAAGTTTTAATTCTTAGGTTTCTTATCATTGGTGTTAATGTTATTTCCTTTGGAACAAGTATGTATTCAGACCAAAAGCACTTAGTTTAGTAATTATCCCTCAACACTAGAATTCACATATTCTTTTTCTAGCAGAAATTGTATGTATGCCTATGTGCCTGTGTACACTAACAGTATACTAGTAAATAAATAACCAGATTATAGCACTGTGACTAATACAGGTTCCTATACCTGCATTGTCTGCTGCCAGGTAACACAACGCTGCCTTGTACTGTGTATGTCCTAACACAAAGCAGACTAACATTGTTGGTCACAATATTGTTTCCGTATTTCTTTCGAGTCTTTGTAGACATGCTGCATGCTGGTTAGATGTGCAGTCCCCTCACAGAATACTGACATTTCACATCTATTCATTGCGTGCCTTCTACCTGTCAGGTGCATCCTAGGAACTTCAGATGGATCAGTGAACGCGATAAACAAAAAGCCCTGCTCTCGGAGAACCTCAATTCTAATAATTTTTCACTCTAAGTGTTTTTGTTAAACGTTGTGTATCCTCCAGAGTATCGCTCAGAGTGCGTTCCCATGACCTTGCCCACAGATGCCATTAGGTCGCTTCATTACATGTCTTACATAGAGGACTTGTCCCAGTTTTCCTTTCATCTTTATTTGCGTGAGCTTGGGCTTGTCTCCCCCTCCGGAAGGATGATTGTGCTCCGGGGGTGATTGTGCTCGCTTTGCCCCTCTGTCACCTGGCATAGTGACTGGCACAGAGTTGGTCTCATTAAATAATTATTGAAGCAATAAATGAATGCCCCCAAAGACATTATTAAATAATATCCAAATGGGCATGCTCATGAAAGCTTTACGTAAATCATATTCCCTCTTTGAGAAACAATGCCAGCATCAAAACGTATTGTTGGCAGTTGTATAGTCTTTAAATAAAAAGTGCATAAGGTGCTTTCACGTCTATTCATTGAGTGCCTTCTATCTGTCAGGTGCATCCTAGGGCCATGTGGGTTATAAGTCAGCAATCGATTTGAGGAATGGTTAGTCCCTATCATGTGCCCAAACCACACGGCACTGAGCCAATTGCACCAGTGAAAGCAGCGTGATCCCTGGTTTGGGGGCTCACTGTGGAGGGACAGCCCCCACTCGGGCGCCAGAGGGACTTTATGTATGAAATGTGTGTGCTGTCCTGTGTTCTCACCGCAGGTAATAAAATGTTTGGCTGACAAGGGGGGGGGGGTGTGGGGGGGTCCAAGAATGGAAGGCACCTTCACTTGCTTTGCTCACAGAAATTATCGAGAATATTCTCATTCTAATATTTCCGAGCTCTTTGACTTAGAAAACTCATGTAACTTAAACTGCCTCCTTCAGGGCAGCCTTCAAGCTTTGCTTCCCTAATGTGCATCATCGTGACATAATCCATCTTTCTAACCCCTCGTTGTCCAGTCTGCATGCTCAGTGTGTCCCCCACCCCCAGGCAGCAGTGTCGCTGGGAAGTTAAGTGATGCTGCAGTTGTGCGTGTAGTTGCCTCGCTGATGAGAGGGTTACTGGAGGATTAAAGGACTCCTATGGAAAGGTCTAACAGCACAGTTGGTCAGTAATAATGACTTTTCGCTTAAGAGCACTGAAACCACAAAGGTATTTTCATCTTTAACAACCAATCAAGCTCCATTTTGCAATGGAAGGAAATGAGCCATATAATTACGTTCAATATCAGCCCTTGCCGTTTGGTGATTTACACTGAGGTAGGTCTCCCGTTTATTAGCCACAATGCAGGTAAGGACTAAGTCACGGAATGTGTTTGCTGCTGTTTTTCTGAGGGGAGTTTCTTTCCTGGTGCCGGTGTCTGAATTGTTTTCTCTTTTCTGTCTCATTCCTGCTATTCCTTTGGAGAAGAAGGGGTCCACACGGAGGAGCTGGACAGTGAACTAGGTAAACCCGCAGCTGCGGCTGCTGCATGACTCCCCGCCATGGCTTTGTCACCAGCGAATGGCTTACGCGCCCGGGTTCTTTAGTTTGCATTCTCCAACTAGGATTTTCATTCCAGTTTACCCACCAGGGGTCAGTCTTACAGCCCACATGTCTGACTGCAGATCATTGGAGCTGTAATCAGTTCCATCTACAGAGAGGAAAAGCTCGCAGCAGGTGCTGGGTATGCTTGTGCCTTGAGGATTAAGAAAAAAAACAGAGGAATAGAGGCTTGCTACGCCCCTTGAACTCTCTCATGTAACCTTTCTCAGCCTCGTTTTTTATTTGTTTGGTGGATAATACCAAAAAAAAGCAAAGCAAAACTAATAAAAACCTATCAGACTAATTCAAGGATCATTACAAGAGCAACACTAATACAATAATTTCCATGAGTATTAGCTGAATAGTTACTGTCATCAGTATTGTGTTGTTATTAAGTCATTGGCCACACGTTTGTACCTGTGGTGAATGTGGCCGATTTCCTTAGGGTGTATGTATCTATGTAAATCAAGTCTTGACTACCCTAGCTGTGATAATTTAGAAATTATTCACATTAGCAGAAAATGCCAAACTCTGTTATCCTTCTTTGCTACCGGACTGCATGAATACTGTTCCCTGCTCAGTTACCTGTTCAATGTTGTTCATATCAGTTGGCATGCCATCTTCTCCTTTCATGGAAGGATCGACAGCAAAGCTCCAGTTCGGCTAAATTGCACAAGAAGCCTTGGCTGATTGAGAATTGACCATAGTATATTTTTAAAATAGAAAATTGTTTAACATCAACTGTCCTGAGATCATTGAACCAGCCTAACATTTAAAGATTGCCTTAACTGAAAATAATGAATATTTCATACAGAATATTATTTGATTTTGTTTGATAGATAAAGACCAGAGTTATGATATACTAGAATTTAGCTCTGTTTTTCTTAATGTTTGGACATATTCTCTTGTAATTGATGGATATGCCAGTGATGGTCGATAACCATTTATAGATCTATTTTAAACATGATTAATAAGTTTCCTTTGTGGTCATGGTGGTAGAAATAACTTGAGATTCAACCTGTGTAATAGAACAATATAAAACTAATTTTATTTTTTTTTTAAATTTATCAGTCCGGTGATGTTAGATAAAATAATTGAAAGAGGCAGAACTAGGTTTTCTGGACATAAAATGACTGCCTTACTCACTTGATGAACCAATTCCAGCCACTCTTGCTGCCCAGCTAATAGGTGTGAGTGGCCACTGTCTGCATAGCTGGTGGACATAATATGGCCAAGTGCAGGGCACACATTTCTTTGCTTCTATGCAAGTTCGAACATTGACATTTTTAGGAAAGAGGTATTTTTTTCCCACGTAACTGTAACATGGTGGGAATTTCCCTATCCGTTTACAGACTCTAACAAAGAAGTTTTAGTGGCTGCATAGTGTCCCTTCTCATGGTCCTGGCCACAGTCCTGGGCAGTGGTTTGGAAGTGGAGGAACTATCTCAGGTCAGATCAGGCTGCACCCTCTCCAATCTGGGACCCCTTGGAAGATGTCCGACTGCCCGGGATCAGGCCTAAACCAGCAGTCAGACATCCCTCTCACAATCCTGGACTGCTGGCTCCTAATCACTCACCTGCCTGCCTACCTGGTCACCCCTTACTGCCCCCCCTGCTGGCCTGGTCACCCCTAACTGCCCCCTTGCTGGCCTAGTTGCCCCTCAGTGCCCCCCATGCCAGCCTAATC